TTCAGTTTTAATCAACTTGCTATAGGAAGGATGTTATTAAATTGGACAGAGTGCTGAAGAAATTTACAAGGATGTTGTCAGAGACTAACTGAGTTATAGGGAGAGGTTGTACAAGCTGGGACCTTTCTCTTTAGAGCATAGGAGACTGAGGGGCGATCTTCTGGAGGTATACAAGATCATGAGCAGCATGGATAGGGTGAATGCACTCAGTCTTTTACCCAGGGTTGGGGAATTGAGGACTAGAGGGCATCAGTTTAAGGGAGGAAAGAATACATGTGAACCTAAGGGCAACTTTTTTTTTAACACAGGGGGTGGTATGCATATGGAATGAGCTGCCAGCGGAAGTTTTTGAGGCGGTACATTTACAACATTTAAAATGCATTCAGACTAATACATAGATAGGAAAGGTTTAAAAGGAAATGGGCCAAGTGCAGGGAAATGGGGTTAAGCATGGGGATATTTTGGCCAGCATGGAACAGTTTGAGCCGAAGGGCCTGTCTCCTTGCCATGGGACTCTATGACTCTAACCCAGTGAAGCCACCAAACAGGACTACTTATATACCGAGAAACATAGGCAGCAAATGATAGGTAGAGCAAAGCAATCTCAAAACCAATGGATAAAATCTCAGCTCTACAGATCTCCACATCCAGTTGTGAATAACGGTGGACAAATAAACAAATTACTGAAAGAGGAGGCTCCACAAATATTCCCATCCTCAATGATTAAACAGCTCCACAAATCAGTGTAAAAGATTAGGCTGAAACATTCACAGTAATCATCAGCCAGAAGTGCCAAGTGGATGATCCATCTCGGCCTCCTCCAGTGGTTCCCAGCGTCACAGATGCCAGTCTTCAGCCAATTCCATTCATTCCACATGATATCAAAAAGTGTTGGAAGCACTGGAAAGTGCAAAGGCTATGGGCCCTGACGACGTTCTGGCAATAATAGTGAAGACTTGTGCTCCAGATTTGCCGATCCCCTAGCCAATCTCTTCCAGTATAGTTACAACACTGGCATCTGCCCTACAATGTGGAAGAGTGCCAGGTATGTCCTATATACAAAAAGCAGGACAAATCCAACCCAGCCAATAACACTCCATCAGTCAGCTCTCAATCAGTAAAGTGATGGAAGGTGTCATCAAGCAGCACCTGCTCAGCAATAACCTGCTTATTAACACCCAATTTGGGTTCCGCCAAGGCCACTCAGCGCCTGACCTGATCACAGCCTTATTTCAAACATGGACAAAGAGCTGAATTCCAGAGGTGAGGTAACAGTGACAGCCTTTGACATCAGAGGTGGATTCAATCGAATGTGACATTAAGGAGTCCTAGCAAAACTGAAATCAACAGGAATCAGGGAGCAAACTCTCCACTGATTGGAGGCATACCTGGCACATAAGATGATGGACATGGTTATTGGAAATCAGTCATGTCAGCTCCGGGGCATCTCTGCAAGAGGTCCCATGGTAGTGTCCTAAGCCCAAACATCTTTAGCTACTGGGGCAAATGGGACTTGAACCCAGGCCTCCTGGTTCAGGGGTAGGGACAGTACAACTGTGCCACAAGAGCATGGGTATACATCTTGAGTACTGTATAATTTTGGTCTCATTATTTAAGAAAGGTTATAATTACAAAAGAAGCACTGCAGTGAAGTTTAACTCGGCTGATTCCTGGGATGAAGGCATTGACTCTGGAGCAGGTGGAACTGGGCTGCGGAGTGGCAGATGGAGTTTAATTTAGATAAATGTGAGGTATTGCATTTTGGTAAATCAAACAAGGGCAGGGTGTATACAATTAATGGTAAAGCCCTGGATAGTGTTGTAGAACAGAGAGACCTAGGGGTTCGGGCACATTATTCTTTGAAATTTGCATCACAGGTAGACAGGGTGTTGAGGCGTTTAGCACATTTCCTTCATTGCTCAGACATTTGAATATCGGAGTTGGGACACCATGTTGAGGTTGTACAGGGTATTGGTGAGGCCTCTTCTGGAGTATTGTATGCAGTTCTAGTTGCCCTGCTTTAGGGAGGATGTTATGAAACTGGTTTGGGTTCAGAATAGATTTACAAGGATATTGCCAGGAATGGAGGGTTTGAGTTGTAAGAAGAGGCTGGATAGGTTGGGACTTTTTTCACTGGAGTATGGGAGATTGAGGGGTAACCTTATAGAGGTTTATAAAATCATGAGAGGCATAGATAAGGTAAATAGCAAAGGTCTTTTCCTTAAGGTGGGGCAGTTCAAAACTAAGGGGCAAATTTTTAAGGTGAGAAGGGAAAGATTTGGAAGGTACGCAAGGGGCTTTTTTTTTTACACAGAGCACGGTTCATGCGTGGAATGAACTTACAGAGGAAGTGATAGATTTACAATGTTTAAAAGTTACAATGTTTAAAAGACACTCGATAAGCACATGTGTAGGAAAGGTTTGGAGGGATATGGGCCAAATGCAGGCAGGTGGGACTAGTTTAGTTTGGGAATATGGTCGGCATGGACTAGTTGAAACAAAGGGTCCGTTTCCATGCTGCATGACTCTACAACTGCCAGTTCAATTACAGGGTTGACATCTCTGCAGCCTCAGGAGCAGTAGCCACTATTGCAGCTGTATCCAGTGGAAGAGGACATAGTGGTTGATGTGTACCACTCACAACCAGCTAAATGGGGTCTGAAGGTCTGTGAATAGCTGAAGTCCTAATCCCAATTTCTGCAGTACCCTACTAGTCACTGCCTGCTATTCAGAAAAAGAGGTATTTATTCCTGCCCTTTGCTTAACAGACAGGAAACAATTTTCTATCCATCTCAATATATTACTCCCATTCCCATGCGCTTTAATTTTACACGTTAATTTCTTATATGGGACTCTGTTGAAACCCTTATGGAAGTCCGAATAAACCATATCACTGGCTCTCCCTGATTACCTCTACAAGTTACATCCTCAAAGAATTTCAGTAGATCTGTCAAGCAAAGTTTCCCTTTTTGTAAATCCATGCTGACTGTGTCGGATTCTACCGCTGTTTTCTAAGTGCTCTGGTGTAAAATCTTTTATAGAGGACTCTAGTATCTTCCACACTGCTGATGTCAGACTCACTGGTCTATAATTCTGTTTTCTCTTTACCTCTCTTTTAAAGTTGTGGGGTTACATAGCTACCGTCCAATCTGTAGGAACTGTTGCATAGAAGTCCTTGGAAGATGACCACCAATGCATCCACTATTTCTCACTTCCTTAAGTACTCTGGGATGTAGATTATCAGGCCCGGGAGATTTAATGACCTTAAATCCCTTCAATTTCTCCAACACCATTTCCCTACTCATATAGATTTGCTCTAGTTGCTCCTTCTCACTAAACCCTGTGTTCTCCATCATTTCTGGTACGTTATTTGTGTCTTCCTTTGTGAAGACAGAAGCTAGGTATGAATTTAGTTTCTCAGTCATTTCTTTGATCCCATTAGAAATTCCTCCATTTCCAATTCTAAGGAACCTACATTAGTTTTCATCAATCCTTTTCTTTTCACATACTTAAGGCAACTTTTACAGGCAGTTCATATGTTTCTAACAAGCTTACTCTCATACTCTATTTTCCCCCTTTTGATCAATCCCTGGTCCTCCGTTGCTGACTTCAAAACCATTTCCAATCTTTGGGTCTGTTGTTTTTTTTCTTGCCAATTTGCCTGCTTCCTTTTTCTGCATCAAATACTATCCCTAATTTCCCTTGAAAGCCATGGTTTGGCCACAGTTCTCTTTGGACTCCTGCACCAGACAGAAATAAACAAACAATTTTTGTAGTTCATTCATTAGCTCTTTCAATACTTGTCATTACCTATTCACTGTCTTTCCTTTCAATAACATTTCCCAATCCATTACAACTAACTCACACCTCATACCATCATGGTTTCCTGGAACATTCAGGAACCTAGTCTCAGAATCAACTACCTTATTCTTCAACTTGATGAAGAATTCTATCATATTATGATCCCAAGGGATCTCTCACAACCGCATTATCAATTATTCCTTCTCATTGCATGGTAGCCAGCCTAAGATAGTCTGTTCTCTCGCTGGTCCCTCAACACATTGGTCCAGCAGTCACTGAATTAGCTGCCTGCTCTAAAATGTACCACTCCACCTCTTCTATGTTCCATTGCACGGCAGGGTCATTTCCTGTAACCATCCCCAAGAATCCTGTCACCTCAGAAAAACCTTGTTTTAAGACTTGACAAAATCATCTCAGATGAATAGCTTCCGTTGTAGGTCAAATTTTCAAACAGAGAAAGAAAGAGAGTATCACAAAGCCCACGTGACAACAGCAAAGAACTAACAAGGAATTGAAAGCAAGAAAAGCAACTCATTGAGTCCTGCGGTCCAGACTGGTGTTATTGAACAATATTCCCTGATCAATGCTTTTCATTTTCCACTATTGGTATACATGTTGCATCTGTCATTGTCTATATATGCTTGTGAAGAGGGTAATTTAAAAAGTATAGAGCTTTAGGTTGCAGAGTCATAACCTAGCATTTCAAATTGCAATTGGTTAAGGGCAATTTGTTTACAATAAACAATTATTTTCTTGTTAAGTCAAGAAACCTGGTGAGTGTTTTCTTTTAACCCAAGTTCAGTCAGGTAAATTGGGGACCATGACTAGCTTGATTAAATCTTCACACTTGTGACAACTACAGGAATATTGGGGCTTGATTTCCAGTGCACTACCTAAATTAGTCCTGACAATATGCAAATAAATGTTTAGTGCATATGCATCATTTGTCATCTGTCACCAAGCACATTACAACAACTATTCACTAAATCTAAATAAAAAATTTTAAAAAAGATAAGCAATATGAGATTGATGAAACTAACAGGAATATGCTTAGCTGATTTTTTAAAAAAGATATCATTAATATTTCAGCTCAACATCTTTCCCAATTTTCAGTAGTAATCTAAGATCAAAACCTTTCATATCTATCATCATTGGAAAGTGTTCCAACAAATTTTAGTTCAATAAGAGTACTAACTCACCCGGACATCAGTGGCATCACCATGCCTGATGTTCATGACCCAAGTCGAGGGCTCATTATTGCTCTCAAAATAATGGAAGACCTTCAGCACTCGTTCCATGGCACCAGGAGATCGTTCCATACTCAAACGGGACTTGGCTCCTGAACCTGCTGTGTGATTCAAGTTCGGATCAAGGTAAGCAGCTGCCATGCTTCTACGGGATGCTATGTGTCGGTCATATTCTATGGAGATAGAAATTAAAAGTTAGAAACAAACATCTATAGCTAAGTAAACACATATCTTGACATGAAGAAAAATCAAAATCATACTAAGTGTTGGAACAAAATGTGAAAGTGTAAGTAAGAGTAAAGGCTGAATATCAAACAGTGTTCCTGACTGCTCATCATCTTCACAAACATCCCATTGTATAATTATTTCACACAAATCTTAGTGTCAATTGTTGAGTTGTAACAAAATGAACCAAAACCAAAATGACAATTCATTTAGAATTTAGAAATTAGAGCCAAAAAAAATTTGATTTATCTAATGTAAAAACAGAAAGTACTGCAGAAACTCAGGAGTTCCAAAGAAAAGTCAACTGGGAATTTGAAACATGAATTCATTTTTCTCTCTCCTCGGACGCTGTCAGACCTGCTAGGTTTCTCCAGCATTTTCTGTTTTTATGTCAGATCTCCAGCAACCACAGTTCTTTATTTTTATTTTAGTTTCTTTGGTGCTTTACTGTATAACCTATCGATGATTGTCTCATTGTTGGCAGTTTCAACTAATTCAGTTGTAGATTCAAATCCCAATGTAGAGACTTCAATGCATAACTTAAGTCCAGTGCAGTACGGAGAGTGTTGTCTTTCAGATGAGATGTAAAAGCAAGGTTCCATATGGTCTCTCAGGGGTTCATAAGAAAATTCTTAACATTAGTCAAAGTAAAGCAGCACGGTCTCAATGTCCCAAACAAATTTATTACCTCACCCCACTAAAAATAGATTATCTGGTCATTTAGTACTGCATTCTGTGGGACTTTGCTATCTGCAAGTGTCTATAATGTAGGCAATTACAGCAGCCATGTGATATAACAGTTATGTGATTGACTGCTTAGCCTTTAGATCACCCTGAATAACAAAATAAAAGCATTCCTATTTTTACTTTCTTCTCTTTGTCCTTCACACTATACCATTTGAGTGCTGCAAGCATTTTCTGTCTTAATTTCAGATCTTCAGCAACTGCAGTTCTTGTGGTTTAGCGTAAATATTGGCTATGACGTCTGGGATAACTCCCGTTTTATTTTTGAGATTACTAAGCAAAGATTTATGATGTTGAAGTTTTCGTCAAGAAATATGAATGGAAATGGAAACATTTAAACTGTATGAGAAGAGAGTGCTGATTGTTTGGCAAGTGAGTCTGATTCATAGAAACACTGATGATGGCAATGTACCAGCTGAATGATAACTGACAGTTAACTGACCAGCTATGCAAATTTTGAACCTGACAGGTTGACTCAAACTGGTCAAGGCACTGATGAGATATAATAAACGAACCAGAGAATCACTGTGACCCATTTTGTTGAATTAAAACAGACACAATGTATTTACATGCTCTTTCAGTCTGCAAAGAACAGTTCTGTTGCACGTAGATTCCAGTATATGCTAGAGTGCCACACTGCAAGCTTGAGTAACAAGCCTAAATTAGTTGCCAGAATAATCATTGGAATGTACTGAATTAATCACCAAGCATTGTCCAAACATAGAAGCATATCTAATGTTGGATATTGTGGTTTGAGTTCTGCAAACACATGATGCTTGGGAATGGCAAGTACCTCATCTGCTGCAAGTTTGCAATTATAATGTTGTTTGATACAATCCACCAGTCTTTGGGATGTACAGCTGTCATATCTAGCATCACACCGGCAGAAATTAATTTACTGCATTCCACAATGTATGATAGGTCACCTTTGAGGATTGACAGCAACATCCTGCTCATTGTGGACAACACTCATACAATCATAGAGTCACAGCACCTTACAGCACAAAAACAAACCCTTCAGCCCAACTCATCTATGCCAACCAGATATCCTAAATTAATGTAGTCCCATTTACCAGTATTTGGTCCATATCCTTCCAAATCCTTCCTATTCATGTACGCATCCAGATGCCTTGTAAGGGTTGTAATTGTACCTACCTCCACTACCTCCTAAGGCAGCTTGATCCATATATGCACCACCCTTTGAGTGAAAAAGTTACCCCTCGGCCCCTTTTTCAATCTTTCCCCTCTCACGTTAAACCTATGCCCTCTAGTTTTGGACTCCCCTACCCTGGGGAAAAGAACTTGGCTATTCAACTATCTGTGTCCCTCACGATTTTATAAACTTCTATAAGGTCACCCCTCAGCCTTTGACACCCCAGTCTATTCAGCCTCTCGCTTTTGCTTAAAGCCTCCAACCCCGGCAACATCCTTGTAAATCCTTTCTGAACACTTTCAAGTTTAACAACATCTTTCTTATAGCAGGGAGACCAGAATTGAATGCAGTATTCCAAAAGTGACCTACCCAATGTCCTCTGCAGCCGCAACATGACCGCAACTCCTATACTCAATGCACTGACCAATTATGGCAAGGGTACCAAACGCCTTCTTCACCACCCTGTCTACCTGTGACTCTACTTTCAAGGAACTATGAACCTGTAGCCCAAGGTTTTTTTGTTTGACCACACTCCCCAGAGCCCTACCATTAAGTGTGTAAGTCCTGCCCTTGTTTGCTTTACCAAAATGTAAATTAAATTCCATCTGCCATTTCTTGGTTAATCATTCCATCTGATCAAGGTCCCCTTGAAATCGGAGATAATCTTTTTCACTGTCCACTATATCATCAATTTTGGTGTCATATGCAAACTTACTAACCATACCTCCTATGTTCAAATCCAAATAATTTATATAAATGATAAAAAGCAGTGGATTCAGCACCAATCCTTGCAGCACACCACTGGTCACAAGCCTCCAGTCTGAAAAACAACCTTTCATCACCACCCTGTCTCCTACCTTCAAGTCAATTTTGTATACAAATGGCTAGTTCTCCCTGGATTCCATGCGAGCTAACCTTTCTAACCAGTCTACCATATGGAACTTTGTTGAATGCATTGCTGAAGTTCATACAGACAATGTCCACTGTTCTGCCTTCATCAATCTTCTTTGTCGCTTTTTCAATATAACTCATGCTGCTGCTGCAAGTAGCAACACAAAAAAACAGTAGCAAGAAATAATCTGATCAGGGTTGTGATTACCCTGCAGATTGGCTTTGATGTACCTTATTTCAGCAGCAAGCCTAGAGTTCCATGCCCCATAAGATGGGCCTTCTTTGTTCACCATTAACGTTTGATACTGCACTAGCCTTTCTGGTAACCTTCTTCATATTCTTCATACCAACTTCATATTGAAATCCCCCATGATCACTGTAACCTTGCCTTTCTTACATGCCTTTTCTATCCCCTGGTGTATGTTCTGCCACAAATCCTGACTACTGTTTAGAGGCCTGTACATAACTCCCATTTGGGTTTTCAATACTTTTGTGGATCCTCAACTACCCACACAGACTTACATCATCTGACTTTGTTTCTTGCTATTGATTTAATTTCATTTCTTATTAATAAGGATCCCCACCCCCACCTGCCTGACTTTTCAATAGGATGTATATCCTTGGATATTTAGCTCCCACTCCTGATCCCCTTGCAGTCACGTCTCTGTGAAACCCATCACATCATATCTGCCAATTTCAATCTGTGCCAAAAGTTCATTTACCTGATTTCATATACTGCATGCATTCAGTTACAATAGCTGCAGTCATATATTGACCGTCCTGCTTCTCATTGTCATTCGTTTATCCAGTGTGCTTGAAGTTTGATTCCGAACCCTTTCCAAACATTCTGTCCGATTGTGTGTGCTGGAAATTTTAGCAACCTCTCCCGAGTACTTCATCATCAGATCATAGAATCATCATAGAATCCCTACAATGTGGAAACAGGCCCTTTGGCCCAACAAGTCCTCACCGTCCCTTGCAGCATCCCACCCAGACCCATCCGCCTATAAACCCGCCTAATCTACACATCCTTGAACACTATGGTCAATTTAGCATGACCAATCCACCTAACCTGCACATCTTTGGACTGTGGGAGGAAACTGGAGCACCCGGACAAAACCCACGCAGACACAGGGAGAATGTGCAAACTCCGTACAGACACAGTCACCAGAGGGTGGAATTGGACTCCGGGTCCCTGGTGCTGTGAGGCAGCAGTGCTAACCACTGAGCCACTGTGCTGTTCATTTCTCTTATTCATTTCTATGCAGTTGAATCCACTCCACACGTTAACCTGCTGCTATGTTTCCCATTGCCTATTATGCTTCATGGAGTTCCCTCCCCCCGCCCCACCCAATTCAATTTATAGGTAGAGAGATCAGAAGATACATATGGTGTGAGTGGAGTGTCAAGAGGCTGAATAAGAAGTCTCTGCAAGTGATCAAAAATGTCAAATGGTGTGAGTAAAGTATAAACAGTTCAATAGCAAGTGAAGGGATGACCTATACTCCGATTACTTGATGCAGAGAGATAAATACAAAAAGTTAAAAATAAGGTGGTGTTGGAAACAAACCAAACGATTGGAATAGCATGATAGGTATAAGGGTCACATGCCAAGGGTCTAACCAATATAACAAGTAATCCAAAATTGTACAAACTAATTAAGGTAGAGCAATCATAACAAGTTATCAAGGTGCTGGTGTCAAAACAGAACAATAAGGAAGATATTACAGATATAGAGCAGTGTGGTGAGGATTGCATGTAGCGCAACATGAACCCCAGATCATGGCTGAGGCTGTCTTCATGGGTACAGAACTTGGCTATCAGTTCCTGTATTGGTGATTCTGCATTGTTGTGTATCTCAAAGGCCAACTTGGAGGATGCTTATCCGAAGATCAGAGGCTAAACGCCCTTGACCACTGAAGTATTCCCCAACTGGGAGGGAACAATCCTGTCTGGCAATTGCTGCATGGTGTCCATTCATCCGTTGCCGTAGTATCTGCATGGTCTCATCCTTGCCTACACAGTATAAGGTAGACAATATTGGCCGAGTCACATGAGTATCTGCAGTGTACGTGGTGTTCTCGTGCGATGGTAGCATCCATGTCAATGATCTGACAAGTCTTGCAAAGGTTGCCGTGGCAGGGTTGTGTGGTGTTGTGG